ATTTAGTTGGGTTATTTCGCTAGTGGCGCAACCTGGGTTGCGGTCTCGACGCAAAGCGGAACCAATGTACCACGCCCTCACATGTGCTCCAGCTCGCCTCGGACTTCCTGCGTGATTTTAGTGAAGGACCGATAATGTCCCTCACACACGCTAAGAAAGCTGGAAAATTACAAGTTACTGTGCAGTGGATATGGTGATCATTTTTTTAGGTACACTGATTACTAAGCGTGCCCCTAAACCAATTTTGAGCCTTGTATGTATACCTCAATCATTTTGCCACCCGTCCGCATCTTCCCTGCAAGCTTGTAGTGCTTCCGCTGTCTAGAGAGACAACAATCTTGTGCAATACCGACGACACATTGCACAACTACCAATATACAGGCCCTCCTATGATCATATTGTTAGAGTAGCGGGAAAAGTGTGACTAGGAAGAGGGGAGGGGAGATAAAATACAAGTACAATAATATTGTCCCCTCTAAGAACTGACATGGCTAGGTTATAACAAACATATCTAAACTACCTAGATATGTGTAGATTGAACTACATGTTTGTTTGACACACCCCCTAGCCTAAGTAGAGGCAGAGTGTAACAAACCAGGGCAGCACAGTCATAAAGTCACCAGTCCTTACCACTAGGACAAGAAGGGATCGCCTTAGGAGAGTTAGGCTCCATGTATCCACCTTCCCCAAGGAAAGGCTCCCTAGTACCCTCACTAGAGAGAGGAGAGGTTCGACAGGGCTATCCCAGTGCCACAACAGAACCCCCCGCTGGCATAGCGTGTACACCGGGAATTGAACCCTAAATTGCTCTGATACCAAATCATTAAGTAATCAGTCCTAACCGTAGGGACAATAAGTGATATCCTCAAGAGAGTTAGACTCCATATACCCACCTTCCCCAGGGAAAGCCTCCCTAGTACCCTCCCTAGAGAGAGAAGAGGTTCGACAGGGCTATCCCAGTGCCACGACAAGCACTACTAGACTGGCCTCTGGTGAAGGTAACAAGACAACTCAGGGCAACACAACTAGTCTGACCACTTAGACAAGGGGCCACAAGGCCAGTCAGCACGTGTAGCAAGACATGCAGATATAGAAATAGCAAGTACAGGTCGGTATAGTATTCATCAGGATACAAGGAGTGGGCTAATACCGAGGCTAGACCAAGCTGAGTCTAGAACCGCTAATGGGCACGATACGGTAGTGCCTTGGTGAAGATAACAGTGGTGTTGGCCTTTGTGGCCTTTGAGCTTGACCGCGATGCTGCAACTGGCTCATCAGGAAGTACCGCAGCTGGATGTGCTTCGCCCTGCCCTCAAGTCGAGCCTCATAACACAGGAGGATCATGGCCCTGTTGTCAGCAAACAGGACCAAGGCAGACCTACTGTAGGTTGCTCACCTAAGTCAGTGAACAAGAACGTCAGCCAACGAAGCTCCTGAACGGCCATGGCCCCAGCGTAGATCTCTGCCTCACAACTGGGCTGAGCTACAGACGGTGACCTGATGGACCTCCATGAGACTGCACCAGCACCAAGATTGAAACAGTAGCACTGGGACGACCTGAGCGTCTCCACGTCGTCAGCACACGACGCGTCTGTGTGTCCAGTGAGGACCACTGGCTCCCGTCCTCCTAGCACAAGCTCCAGTCTTGATGTACTCACTAGATACCGTAGTACCCTCTTCGCAGTCGACCACTAGATTGGTCGGTGCCTTCCTGTCGCAACAAAGCAAGCCAGGAGTCTGAGAGGGTACGTTAGATCTGGTCAAGAGCAGTTCATCAGGTACATAGGGCACCCCACCAGCTCTGTGTATGGACCACTAGCCTCAACCAGCTACGTCGAAATAGGAAGAGAGAGCTTGTGATCCATAGGCAGAGGGGTGGGCTGTGCCGAGGAGAACTGGAGACTGAACATCTACAAGATCTGCAGCACCATATGTGACTGGGAGAGTGTCATCGTGCAAACAGCACAATCACGAGCAGTCTCCAAGCCCAGATAGCGCGTTTTTTCCCCTAAGGCTGTACATGTGTGTCTCCTAAGTAACTCGGCCTTCATTGAGGCTAGTGCAACTCTGTTTGGAGTAGCAAAGATAAGATCATCTACATACGCTAAGATGACCTGTGCGAACAAAGAGAGAGGAGTCAGCAGAGGATGGAAAGAACTGCAGCTCACCAAGAGTGGTGTGAAGCGTGTCGTGCCACTCGCGGGGTGCCTAAAGAAGGCTGTAGATAGGGCGGCACTGGCTCCATTCGGTCCCAGGTGGGAAGGACCCTGAGAAGCCTAGGGGGCATTGGAGGTAGATCTGCTCGTGCAGACTACGCTGCAAGAAAGCTATAAAGAACTCAAATGAGTGTAGCTCGTAGTCATGCTTTGCGGCTATCTGGAGGAGCACCCAAAGACCAGTCATCTTCGGGGTCGGGGAGAAGGTCTAAAAGAAGTCCACAACCTCACGCTGACTGAAGTCTCTAGTCCCGTAACCCGCCTTGAACTTCGGCGGCTCTCCAGGTACGCGCTTCACCCTGTAGATTCACATGCCATCGACTAAGTGCTTGTGGATCTGTAGGATGCCATCTTAGCCTTGTCCGTGGCCTGTATCCAGTGGGCTGCCCAGGGCCCTGACACCGTTTCAGTGTAAGAGCGCAGAATAGAGATGTCGAGAGCGTCTGGGTCACCCTCTGGGGATACAAACATGGAGTAGAGATGGAGAACAATGACAACAAGGTAGGCCAACTCGTACTGCCTGTCCTCTAGCACGTGATTGCCAAGGGAGGGTGCACCCCGGACGGACGGAGGACGGGAAGTATCGGAGACCAGAGCGGCAGCGTAGTCAAGGTGGTGGTTAGCAGCGAAGTCAGCGATATCAAAGAGAAGCGCAGAGACGGTCTCAGGAGGAGCAGTAGGGTCAGTGACAGGCGATGCAAGCAAGCGCGAGGTGGTAGGACAAGCAGTATGAGTAGTGTCAGCTAGAGCAAGGGGGAACTGCGGGAGCGATGGGGGAGGAGGTTATGGAAGCACGGGGACTGGAGAAGCACGAGAACGGAGGATCATTGGGTGGACACTACAACGAGAAGAGACAGGACAAGCACTAGAGGGGCGACGGACCCAGTGGGGAAGAACTGGGGGCTGGGGACAAGGGGAGAGTGCGGGTGCAAACGAGCCTGAGAGGAGTCCGGAGAAGGGAACATCGGGCCGTAAACAGGGGCATGCACCGGAGGGGGAACGAGCAGGCAGATAGGGGAACCTGGAGCAAGACCAAGGAGACGAAGGGCAGATTGCGGCTACTCCTGCTACGGCGGCGGCACCGGCTGTTGCGGCTACTGATGCTGCTGCTCCCTGTCCTTGCTAAGAGCTCCAGTTGCACCTCGACTACCAGGACTAGCACCCTCGAATGCACCACCCACAGAACCAGCACTCCCGGAGTCAGCACCCCCAGAACTGGCACCCCTAGAACGAGCACCCCCATAGTCAGCATCCACATAATTCGCACCCCTAGAGCCTTCACCCCCAGCACCAACACCTCCAACACCAGCAACCCTAGATCCAGCACCCCCCAAAGCCCATTGCTCCCTGTTGCTGCGACCTCTCATGTTGCTACAGCGGCTGTTGCTGCTGCTGAGGCAAGGGGGAGGCGCTTGGGTGACTGGGTTACCGAGGCTGGGGGAAGCACCACAGAGACAGTAGGCGCACCCCCAGCAGCTGGGCCCCCAGAGTCAGCTGACTCCCCCACAGGTGCAACCGAGAGGAAGTGAGTGGCGTTCTTGTTGCCGATGTGACATCTCTCCCACACTTGGACGCTGTTGCTGCTGTCACGATATCTGCGGAGCAGGCTGTGCATGCTGCTGCTCGTTCCGCCTACTTTGTCTGAGCGTCCCGCGACGCTACTACATGTGTCGCCATCTTCAGGTGCCTGATGGTTGATGAGCACTCCCACTTTGTGGGTGCTGTGTCAGCCCGCGCCCTCTAGCTAGCTATCCTCGCTAGGTACTTCATCCTGTCGCCGACCACTCTTGGTCGTCTCCTCCTCCCTTTCTTCCACCCTGACCTGACGTCCTTGACCACTCTAACAGACTTAGTTGAGCACCTGCGGTCCCTCAAGGCCCGCTGGAGTGCGATCTGCGCTGAGGCCCAGCTAGAGCTTGCCCCGCCCCCCCTCTTTGCCACTATCTACTTCCTTGACACCCACCTCCCTGACTGCCTTGCCCCTGCCCACGACGCACTGCTCGATCGTCACCCTGCTGAGCTCACCCTTCATCTCTTCTCTACCTTCCTGACTGTGGTAGAGGACCGCCTCCGCGCCACCGCTTGTTCCACTGGCGCGCCAGCAATCCCTACCTTTCAGGGCAGGGCTCCCTCCCCGGTGACTGTCCCTCCTGCCTCCGTCTACGTAGCCGAGACTGCAGCGGCTTCCTCTGCCCCCGGCCGCTCCTCTGGCGGCACGGGCAAGGGCAAGGGGGGCAAGTGTCGTGGGGGGTCGGCAACAGCGGGTGGAGGGGGTGTGGGTACGGAAGCAGATGGTGGTCAGTCGGAGTCGGGGACTGAGCAGCAGCAGCACCCGCAGCTGTCGTGGGGGCTGGCAGGCCCTGGGGGTGGTGGTCGTGGTGGAGGCTGTGGGGTTTGGGGCACAGAGCAGTGTCGAGGGGGGAGGTGTCGAGACTACGGGACGCAAAATTAGAAAGGGGGGAGGTGCGCGGAATTGAGAGAGCGAGACATGCGGGGAAAAAAACTGGGTCTACAGTAACGATAGAAGCGTGAGTAACGACGTAAAAATTATAACCTAGCTCTGATACCGTATAAGAATAGCTGGGCAATCCGTTTACTTTATTTCCGGAGAGTTACAAAGTTCCGGGCACTGTTACGTTTCGTTTTCTCGCCAGCTCGGGACTTAGTTTTTTTGCACCCACTCAACCATCAAGAGGGACCCCCCTATGCTATATTTTGCCATAGGGTTTGAAGTACGAATTTATCACAACATAAGGAATGCGTGAAAGAGAGAGGAACATGTAGATTGAAACTTGAACATGAAACAGTATAAGAGATGCACAGGACAGTACACTAATACCAGGGCGTAGATTTCCGCCTGAGCGCACAAATATTGCGCATGCAGTGTATCGACCCCACCATTGCTTCCACTGGAGTCGCATAAAAGCCTGGTCGCGTCACGTTCCTATGGTAAGCCTGCTTTTAAAAAAACTCCTTATTCATCACATCTATTAGCGTCTTCATTATGTGTATAGTCGTGGTGTTCAGACCAGGAGGGCCGCCCCTGTAACATCCTGTAACGTGGCACTTGGTGTAGTAAGACGTTTCCACATCCTCTATGAAGTACGTCCCTCCAGGCTGGAAAAGAGAGATTTGGGATGGGGGGAGAAAGCAAGACAGTGGCAGAAGGGAAAGCGAGGGGGGGAGAGGAGGAAAAAGGGAGAACCGAAGGGACTACAGAAGTTGCAACGATGGAACCATGACAGTAACAACGGCAGATACCTTGACTGTAACAACGGCAGATACATTGACCGTAACAACGGCAGATACCTTGACAGTATCAACGGCAGATACCTTGACAGTATCAACGGCAGATACCTTGACAGTATCAACGGCAGATACCTTGACAGTATCAACGGCAGGTACCTTGACAGTATCAACAGCAGATACCTTGACAGTATCAACGGCAGATACCTTGACAGTATCAACGGCAGGTACCTTGACAGTATCAACGGTAGATACCTTGACAGTATCAACGGCAGGTACCTTGACAGTATCAACGGCAGATACCTTGACAGTATCAACGGCAGATACCTTGAGTAGTGGCAGCACGTACCTTGACCAGTGGCAGCAGGTATTGGAGGGATGTCTGTTGCTGCTTCATTGTGTGACCACCGTCGTCCACTATGAAGTCAAGCAGACCCACCTGAAACGAGTCACAACGCAGTAACGAGGACAAGGGCAGCAAAGAACAGCAGTATCACAAGATTTGACACCATGAAGTTAAGCAGATCCATAAAGAATAGTTCAAAAGCGCAATATAAATGACAAACCAAACCAGGAAGACTTTAAAGGCAGAATTGTAACCTTCGCTTGTTTCATGCCCCAAGCATGCATGCATAAGATGCCATGGCATGAAACAACATCCCATGCACATTATCCCCCGCTCACGACACCATGCACATTCACATGGGCTCACCATGCCATGCACATCATACATAATACATTAAAAGCCATGACATACATACCCAGAAGTAAATCCTCCACCCACCCACATTACACCACACTGCACCACACCAACCCCGCCACACCCTTCATGCTCCCACCCCGCGCTCTTTATCTCTGCCACCACTTGCGTAAGGAACGTCCCATTCGCCTGGTCGCCCACCATCAGCCGCACCCGAGGGTCCCGCGCCTCTCCTTGGTATTTCTGCACAGAGAAAGGGAAGAGGTGTGAGAGGGCGGGTGGAGGGGCAGGCAGGGGGTGTGCATGGGATAGCTGAAGCGCCTAAATTATGGATCCCTCGCGTCTGCCTGGTGCTTGTGGGGTTGGGAACGAGAGAGGGCATGCAGTGGGGAGCTCGTGCGGGGGAGAGCGCATGCAAGGGGGAGCGTGTGAGATGCCTGAGGTGTCTGGCCTGGCCGCCCACTGTCAGCTGCATCTGAGTGTGCGGCGCCTCTGGATCTTGCTTCTATGGAGACAAGAACAAGGGGAGGGTATGATTGTGGGGGAAAAACAGGGGAGGGGATGGGTGTGGGTTGGTAGACAAGAACAAGGGGAGGGGAAAGCTGTTCGCTGCGCTGGAAGGTCCTGCGCCGCAGCCTGGTGCCTCTGAGGAGACAACAACAGGGGAGGGGATGAAGGACAGCAGCACACAAGGGTTCCCATCGAATATAGAAAGGTATCTAGATGACCAATCACCCTATACCAAGCAACAGGTGAACACAAAATTTCCGTTGCCGGGACTTGAACCCGGGTCTTTCGGGTGAGAGCCGAATATCCTAACCGACTAGACTACAACGGAGATGACACCTAGTATCTTAAACTATACCAAAAACAATCTCATGAGATGTGGTTTTCACACTCTCGAGATTTTGCCGTTGTCAATGCTGTAGATGACGCCTCGCGGGAACGCCCTCTTCCAGAGCCTCAGCGAGTCGCCGTGCTTGAGCCCGATCTCCAACATTTTCACCTCGCCAGGCTCCCCCGGCTGCTGCTGCTGCTGTTTCTGCTGGCGAAAACTTATGATCTGTTGAGAATCATGCGACTGTCGCTGCAGGCGCAGGGGGTCGAGATAGAGGCTGTAGAACGCGCCGTAGTGGTGAGTGCGTTTATCGGATGTGCCTTGATTGACGATTTCTTCAAACGAGACGAAGGGCTGCAGGCGGGACAAGCACGGGGATCACGGGGAGCAGCACGGGCTTTGCTGATCGGGAAGCAAGTCTACTTCTCAAGACCGAATAAGATTGACCTGATGGATACTGCTGAACCCTAATCACTTCCACCGATTGGAAGACGACGCCTGACCATTTGATTTTGAGAAATCCTCCTCAGCACCTCCTCCTATATAATAAGGCTTCCTAAAATGGAAAATACCTCTTGCACTGCGATACCTCTTGCACTACGCGTGGCGTATCGCGGCAATTTCCGAGGAGGTCAAGGGCAATATACGCCCACGGAAGCAGGTACAGGACGGTCAATACGCCTCCCCCCAAAGCTAGAATCCACACGCCGAGCTTTCCCATTTTCCCGACGATCCTGCCGCGTGCCTGCTAGCGTAACGCGATATCCACGCAGAACGCAGGACGATGAAATAATGAACGGCGTGTAATTCATCCATTACAGAACGTCGAATGCTTCCTGCCCTAAGAGGACCTTGTCGCTGGCCTTCTAGGCTGCTGACAGCGTTCCAGCCTGCTGCTGCCGTTGCGTTGCTTGAGATTGAGATACGCGAGGAGTGGGCAACGTCACATGACTGACTTAATGTCACGCGAAGCCGTGTCGTGCCAGTGTGACAGCTACAAAACGAAACTTGCAGTTGTGGTTGCGCCATCAATGGCTGCGAGGTGACCATGTCATCCTCGATAAGATCGCCCTGTGTGCATGCTGACGTTCACCGAATTGAGTGGTGACGTACAGACAGATTTGAGATATTCTTACAGTTTATGTGAACGCGTCTTAGAGCAACTTCTTGCATATAATTGTGTTTTGAATAACAAATGGCAAAATAAAAGAATATTTATTTATTGGAAGAATTTGATTATATCACAAACAAACAAAGGCACCAGTATTTGGATTGGAATAATGCGGTGATAATGTGGTGGATCCTTTCCAAACTTCCACTAATAAAACCGTCTTATTTTTTCTGAGGTTTCAAAAGGTTACCCCTTTGAGTAGTCAGTAAATTTCTTATTCTTTTTTGTTGGGCTTATTAGCACTTATCCTTTGTGAGGTCTCTAGATTATTGTACGTGACGATCCTGCATCAGGTAGGCCAATAACGGACCGGCAAGAATCTAAAATCTAGAATCAAGGCTCGGATGCTCCTGCTGTTTCAGAGTTTCCAACCAACCAACCCCCATGGCTTTCACTTCCCAACAAACCGCTTTCCTAAACAAATGCCTCTAGATCGCTCGATCATTGTACGATAGCCATCCTCCGCTATGAAACTGCCTGGTCGTAGAACTTCCTTCCGTCATATTTCCGTCTCGAGCCGCCGACCATAGCGTCGGTTTCCCTCGACTCACGTTATTCTCTGCGCAGACCGTAATCTGCGAGGGCTCCACGTCGGATACCAAGCCGGGCAGCTTGAGCTCGACATTTGCGCTTGACCTGCTGTTCTCTCCTTCTCTACAAGCAATGGCTCGCGATCAAGCACAGGCACGGAAACGAAGCGTCGCAGCAGCTTCGCAATCCGTCGCTGACGTCAGACCAGATATTTCTCCCGAAATCATCATTGCTCCGCCGCTGAACAAGTGGTCGAAGAATGTCCGCGTGGGGATCTTCGCCGCGCTTGTCCTGGCTCCTCTTATAGTGGCGTTTGTCGTATTAGACCTGGATCCGCTAGAGCGACGGTCCATTACAATCAACGCCGTCATGAGTGTCGCGGGATTCGTTATAACGACGAAGCTGATTCCCATGGCGGTGCCTTATATGCTGCGGAGAAACATGTTTGGATACGATATCAATAAGAGAGGCTCTCCAGCTGGCGAGATTAAGATGTGAGCATAATGAAGGGGGGGCGGCACAGTGGGTGCTGCAGTAACGGTGCCTCTTGTGTCAATAAGGACCGTTTCCAGATGTGATGCTACCGAGCAGAGCTCTGTCCTGGCGTTTTCAAGTGTGACTATAGTGATCCCACGGTGATATGGTGTGAATAGTTGCAGGCAATCGGGGTAGAACGTCGCTCATTCTGTCAAGTGCAGGGATAACGTTGCTTTGATAGGGTAGCGTGGTAACGTGCAATCTAACAAGAACCTCTCCCCTTGGTTACTCCTGTCAATCCTTCCCATCCGTACCCATTTCTACCCAGTCCCGAGACCCAGGGTCTGGTGGTGGCGATCGTGTATCTGGTGGGTGACTGAGCAGCGCTGCGCATCCCCCTTTTCCGCCAGCCGCGCATCTCCATGCCACCCACCCTTCCCCCCCTCTCCCCAGTCCCGAGACCCAGGGTCTGGTGGTGGCGATTGTGTATCTGGTGGTTACCATAGCATCCCGTAACCCGCTCCCCCCATTCCACCCACCGCTCCCCCTTACTCCGCAGTCCCGAGACCCAGGGTCTGGTGGTGGCGATTGTGTATCTGGTGGTTACCATAGCATCCCGTAACCCGCTCCCCTCATCCCACCCTCCCACCCTTCCCCCTATGCAGTCCCGAGACCCAGGGTCTGGTGGTGGCGATCGTGTATCTGGTGGTTACCATCCTCTTCCAGCACTTCTACTTCACTCCTGACTCGCCTGTGAGTGGGTTCCCACCTGTGTTCTCAGGTGTATTTTCAGGCGTGTTCTCATGTATGTGCCTGCTCAGGTGTCTTCTCAGGTGTATGCTAAGGAAATGCATGGAGGTATTCAATCGATTATTGCCCGCATGGCGATTCTCCTCTTTCCTGCACTATTGCTTCAACCCTTCACTCCCCTGTAACCTCTCTCATCACCCTCATGCTTGTCCAGTATATATTTCTAGGAGATATTCCAAGAGATATTCAGTATGCCAAGAGATATTCCCAGATATATCCCCAGGTAGGTGGAGGAGTCTCAGTCTCTCCCTCTTCCTCCCCTCCCACTCTTCCCTCTTCACCACCCTCCGCACAGCTAGTGGCTGCTGGAGTACAGCGCTGCCCTGGCCTGCATTGGCTTCATGGCGTTCTCTTCTTGCCCCTCTCAACCCTCCCATTCCCCTCTTTGTCCGCCTCAACCCCCTCTCCCCTCTCTCCCCCTCTCCCCCCCTCTCTCCCCCTCTCTCCCCCTCTCTCCCCCTCTCTCCCCCTCTCTCCCCCTCTCCCTCTCCGCTCCCCCTCCGCTCCCCCCCGCCACGCAGCCAGTGGCTTCTGGAGCACAGCTCCGCCCTGGTCTGCATTGGCTTCATGGCGTTCTCTACTTGTAGCCCTCACCCCCCTGCGTTCCTCCCCTGCTCCTCCCCATGCATGCACGCACCAGTGGCTGCTGGAGCACAACGTTACTCTCGTCTGCATCTGCTTCATGGCGTTCTCAACCTGCCCCCCTCAACCCTCCCCTTCCCTCTTTGTCCCGACCCCCTCTCCCCCCGCTTCCCCCGCTCCTCCCCTCCCCTCCTCTATGCCCTGGCCAGTGGCTGCTGGAGTACAGCGCCGCCCTGGCGTGCATCTGCTTCATGGCGTTCCTTGGCTTTTCCCTCCCAACCTTTCCCCTTCGGGTGTCTGCCTCCACTCTCTTTCTCCCTGCTTCCCTCGCCCTGCTTCCCTCCCCCTGCTTCCCTCCCCCTGCTTCCCTCCCCCTGCTTCCCTCCCCCTGCTTCCCTCCCCCTGCTTCCCTCCCTTCCCTCCCCTTGTCAGTGGCTGCTGGAGTACAACGCCGCCCTGGCCTGCATTGCTTCTGGTGTTCTCTCTGCCGTCCGTCACAACCTTCCTTCCTACCACCTCCTTCCCTCCCCTGCCGTCCCCTCCTCCCAGTGGCTGCTGGAGTACAGCGCCGCCCTGGCGTGCATCTGCTTCATGGCGTTCCTTGGCTTTTCCCTCCCAACCTTTCCCCTTCGGGTGTCTGCCTCCACTCCCTTTCTCCCTGCTTCCCTCGCCCTGCTTCCCTCCCCCTGCTTCCCTCCCCCTGCTTCCCTCCCCCTCCTTCCCTCCCCTTGTCAGTGGCTGCTGGAGTACAACGCCGCCCTGGCCTGCATTGCTTCTGGTGTTCTCTCTGCCGTCCGTCACAACCTCCCTTCCTACCACCTCCTTCCCTCCCCTGCCGTCCCCTCCTCCCAGTGGCTGCTGGAGTACAACGCCGCGCTCGCCTGCATCTGCTTCATGGCGTTCCTCGGCTTCATAGACGACGTGCTGGACATCCCGTGGCGAGTGTGAGTTCTAGGGGGGAGTGTGAGTGGGGAGGGTGTGAGTGGGGAGAGTGTGAGTAGGAAGGGTGTGAGAGGGAAGGGAAAGGAGGGAGTGTGTGTGGGTGTGGATGTGTTGATGACATTTGACATTAAAAATCATGACTCTTGGAATTCACTGTGGGTTCATTCACGGACGATATGCCACTGACTGGACATGCCACCATCGTGGCTGTGTCACTGTGTGGGATCCCGGGCCCATTCGGGCCACACTACCACCATCGGCATCCCCAAGCTGCCCCGGCCGCTGCTAGCAGGCCTCACAGGGTTGGAGGTGGCTGTGTGGGACCTCGGACCCATTCGGGCCACACTACCATCGTCATTCCCAAGGCCCTGCTTACAAGTTGACTGAATGCTCCACTTCTCCCCCTCCTCCCCCCCCCCTCACCTCTCCCCCTCACCTCCTCTCACCCCAGAAAGCTAATCCTCCCCCCCCTCGCCGCGCTGCCTCTCCTAATGGCCTTATCCTAAAGGTTTCCAGGTCCCCTCTTCTTTCCCACCTGTCCTCCCGCCCCTCCTCTCACTTCCCCTCTCTCTCCCTCCCCTTTCCGCCCACACAGAAAGCTTATCCTGCCGTCCTTTGCTGCCTTGCCTCTCCTGATGGCCTACTCCGGCCACACCACCATCGTCATCCCCAAGCCGCTGCGGCCGCTGCTAACGGGCATCACAGGGGCGGAGGTGGCAGTGTGGGATCTCGGGGTGCTGTATAAGGTGTACATGGGCATGCTGGTGGTTTTCTGCTCCAACTCCATCAACATCCTCGCTGGTGTCAATGGCGTGGAGGCAGGCCAGACTGCTGTCATTGCTGCCTCGGTAAGAGAAACTTTGAGAATTCTATAAGGTGTACATCCAGCTCGGGGTGCTCTATAAGGTGTATACATGCATGGGCCTGCCTCGATGTGTGTTATAAGGTGTACATGCTGCGTGTGATGAGAGATACAAGGGAATTGGGACGGAACATGGGAACTAAGTTGGAAAAAACGTGTTTAGCGTTGAAATGCAAAATGCTTGGCGATGAATTGGAAAGACGCGAAAAAAACGCTGGGTCAAGCAGGGTTAAAAAAAGATCAGGAAGGGCAAAGAAAAGGGCTCGGGGGGAGAGGGGGGGGGGGGGGAGGATTTCTGAGCACCTTGTTCCTCCTCCCGATAATAGTTTATTAATATTTCAAAATACATATGTCTGGCTCTCTCCCTGTCAATCATGCTACCCCACCAACCGCCCCTACTACATCTCCCTCACCCCCTCCCCTTCCCTTGCAATACTGCGTCGTGTCAGACGCCTCAAATAAAGGGAAACAACGGACGTTCTTTAGAACCTCGGAGACACGTCCGCCGGTACCCTAGCTTGCAGGAGTGGTTTCGGGTTTAGGGTTAGAGTGCGGTGCAGATGGGGGGAATTTCGGGTTTGTTGAGTTCACGATGTGGGGAACCTCCTGTTACAAATCGCCACATCGCAAACTGTTGCGAGCGTAAGTAATCGCGAGCTGCTCGAGCGTTTTCGGAGCGTTTTGCATTGTTCGTTGAAACGCTCGACCAGCCTAGCGTTTTTCCCAACTTAGCATGGAAGTGGACAAGAGGGTAATCAGCATTGTATGCCCCCCGCCCTTCTCCCCTCTCTCCCTTTCTCAGTTGTTGCTGTTTAGCATCTGGCAGATCGGCCAGTTGCCAGGCTTCAAGCTGCCACTACCTCTTTCGCTCTCTTTTTCTCTCTCCCCTCCCCTCCCTCTCGCTCGCTCTCTTCCCCCCCCCCCCCCCTGCCCCCCTCTCGCTTGCAGGTTCTATTATTCAACATCTGGCAGGTAGGTGTGCTGCCACTGCATCTACCTCTCTCACTTGCTCTCCCCCTCCCCCTCCTCCCCTCTCCCCCCCCCCCCTCCTCCCCTCTCCCCCTCCCAGGCTCTCCTCTTCAACATCCTGCAGGTAGACGAACTGCCAGGCTTCAAGCTGCCCCTGCATCTCCCTACCTCTCTCGGTCTCTTGCTCTCACCCACCCCTCACACCCCCCCCCCCTCTTGTCCCCCCTCCTCCTCCTCCCCTCCCCCGCTCCCAGGTTCTCCTGTTCAACATCTGGCAGATAGGCGAACTGCCAGGCTTGAAGCTGCCCCTGCAGCCGGACATGCAGCAAGCCCACCTCTTCTCCATCTACCTCATTCTGCCGCTGCTCGCATGCACGCTGGGACTGCTTATCTTCAACTGGTATGTTCTGCATGAGTGGACTTAAAGCCCACCTCTTCTCCATCTACCTCATTCTAGGCTTGAGCATGAACCCGACCCGACCCGACCCGACCCGACTTTGCCCTACCCGATGTAGGATTCGGGTCGGGTCGGGTCGGGTCAAGTTGGGTCGGAGTTCAGGAAATGTCAACCCGACCCGGGTTTAATAGGTCGGGTACTACCTGACCCGATTTCGGGTCGGGTCGGGTCGGGTTGGCATAGGGGCAGGGACGGAGCCGACCCGACGGGTCGGGTTTTGTCGGTTGGGTCGGGTCGGGTCGGGTCGGGTACCCGAGGGTCGGGTCGACTCTCCGCAAATGTCGACCCGACCCGTAAAAAAGTCGGGTTCGGGTCGGGTTACCCGACCCGACCCGACCCGTTGCTCAAGCCTACCTCATTCTGCCGCTGCTTGCATGCACGCTGGGACTGCTTGTCTTCAACTGGTATGTTCTGCATGAGTGGACTTAAAGCCCACCTCTGCCCCATCCACCTCATCCTGCCGCTGCTTGCATGCACTCTTGGGCTGCTTGGCTTCAACTGGTGAGTTGCTGCTCTCCTTGGCTTCGTGCTGCCCTTGCAGCTGGACACGCAGCAAGCCCCACCTCTTCATCCTGCCTCTTCTCGCATGCACCCTCCCTCGCCCTCCACTCCCGCGCTCCTCATCTTTAACTGGTAATGTCTGATAGTGTCTGATAATGTCTGATAATGTCTGATAACGTCTGATAATGTCTGATAATGACTGATAAGCAATAAGGCCAAATCTTCTGCACCTACCTCATCCTGCGCCAGCAGGCGTGCACGCTGGCTCTCCTGGTCTTTAACTGGTACGTTCTCCTTCAACTCAGCTTAAAGCCCACCTCTTTTTCCACCTTCCTCATCCTGCCGCTGCTGGCCTGCACCCCCGGGGTTCCTGTCGTCCAACTGGTACGTTTTGTCCTGAATCGACTTCAAGCCCGCCGCTTCTCCATCCACCTCATCCTCACCTCATCCTCACCTCATCCTCACCTCGTCCTCACCTCATCCTCACCTCACCTCATCCTCACCTCGTCCTCTCCTCATCCTCACCTCATCCTCACCTCGTCCTCACCTCGTCCTCTCCTCGTCCTCTCCTCGCCTACTTCATATCTTCTCCACCTGGGCGTACATCAACCCTGTTGCCCTCTCTCCTCCCCCCCCCCTTTCAATTCCTTTCTCCCCCACCTCTCCCGCCGAGCCCCGTTTCCCTGCATCTCACTCTTTGGGTTGTTGCCCCTTCTCCCCTCCATCTCGCTCTGCCTCCCCTCTGACCCCCGTTTTCTCCATCTCCCAGGTACCCCTCGCAGGTGTTTGTGGGGGACACCTTTACTTACTTCGCTGGAATGACGCTGGCTGTGGTCGGAATACTGGGCCACTTCAGGTGAGTGGTTGAGTGGCTGGTGCTTATCGGGCGTTTTTGAGAATTCTCAAAAACACCCTGCGAATACTGGGCCACTTAAGGTGAGTGGTTGAGTGGCTGGTGCTTATCGGGCGTTTTTGAGAATTCTCAAAAACACCCTGCGAATACTGGGCCACTTAAGGTGAGTGGTTGAGTGGCTGGTGCTTATCGGCTCAGTAATCTCGAAAGCCAGGCCTTGCTTGTGCGTGGCTTAGCGTTTTGCATTGCTGGAAGGACGCTGGCCGTGTTCGTGGGGCACTCGTGGTGAACCTGGCATCCTAGGGCAATGCAGATGATTCATGTAGATCAGAAGGTACAGAGTCAGTGCGGATCAGAAGGTACAGAGTCAGTGCGGATCAGAAGGTACAGAGTCAGTGCGGATCAGAAGGTACAGAGTCAGTGCGGATCAGAAGGTACAGAGTCAGTGCGGATCAGAAGGTACAGAGTCAGTGCGTATCAGAAGGTACAGAGTCAGTGCGTATCAGAAGGTACAGAGTCAGTGCGTATCAGAAGGTACAGAGTCAGTGCGTATCAGAAGGTACAGAGTCAGTGCGGATCAGAAGGTACAGAGTCAGTGCGGATCAGAAGGTACAGAGTCAGTGCGTATCAGAAGGTACAGAGTCAGTGCGTATCAGAAGGTACAGAGTCAGTGCGTATCAGAAGGTACAGAGTCAGTGCGTATCAGAAGGTACAGAGTCAGTGCGGATCAGAAGGCAGAGTCAGTGCGGATCAGAAGGTACAGAGTCAGTGCGGATCAGAAGGCAGAGTCAGTGCGGATCAGAAGGCAGAGTCAGTGCGGATCAGAAGGTACAGAGTCAGTGCGTATCAGGTGTTTGTGGGCGACACATTCATGTGGCTGTGAAACTGCTGGGCACTGCAAGTGTGCAAGCGGGCACTACAGAGTCCAGTGTGCTTCACTTGTGGCGGGAAGTGCGTCGGATGTTTGTGGCCAGCATTCTAAGACACTTCAGTCCAGTTCTCGTATCTGGTGATTGGGGCCGAGTTCTCGAATCTGGTGAGTGTGGGGGGCTCTCGAATTTGGTGAGTGTGGGGAGCTCTCGAGTCTGGTGAGTGTGGGGGGCTCTCGAATCTGGTGAGTGTGGGGGCCTCTCGAATCTGGTGAGTGTGGGGGGCTCTCGAGTCTGGTGAGTGTGGGGGGCTCTCGAATCTGGTGAGTGTGGGGGGCTCTCGAGTCTGGTGAGTGTGGGGGGCTCTCGAGTCTGGTGAGTGTGGGGGGCTCTCGAGTCTGGTGAGTGTGGGGGGCTCTCGAATCTGGTGAGTGTGGGGGCCTCTCGAGTCTGGTGAGTGTGGGGGGCTCTCGAGTCTGGTGAGTGTGGGGGGCTCTCGAATCTGGTGAGTGTGGGGGGCTCTCGAATCTGGTTAGTGTGGGGGGCTCTCGAATCTGGTGAGTGTGGGGGGCTCTCGAATCTGGTGAGTGTGGGGGGCTCTCGAGTCTGGTGAGTGTGGGGGGCTCTCGAGTCTGGTGAGTGTGGGGGGCTCTCGAGGCTGGTGAGTGGGGGGGCACATGTACCCTGCATCGCTGGAATGACCCTGCCTGTAGCCGGTATTCTGCTTCTGGGCCACTTCAGTTGACTGTTCCACTAGCTTGCGTGTGTTAATCCATTGATGTCCTCATATGGTCCCACCACGATCAACTCGTCCTCTTGTCACTCTCTAACCACCCTTTCCCCCCTCCCCTCCCCCCCCTCACCCCACCTTTCCACCCTTCCCTTAACGTCTCATTTACTCCCTCCCTACCTTCAGTGAGACACTTCTGCTGCTCTTCCTCCCTCAAGTCATAAATTTCATTTACTCTGTTCCCCAGGTGGGTCTTCATCTTCCCAGGCGAGTTTCCAGGTGAAGTTTCGTGAATTTCCAGGTGGATTTAGACAAATTCTCGTCTCTGCAACTTTTCCCGGCTCTCCTGTTGCATCTTCCCTCCCCTTCGCCCTCGCCCCACTCTCCTTCCCCCCTCGCCCCTCCCATTGCCCCCTCCGCCCTCCGCCCTCCGCCCTCCGCCCTTCCCCTTCCCCTTCCCCTTCCGAGCATGGCCGCTCTGAATTGTTCAAATTCAGGGCGTGCCAAAATCACTGTCTTTCCAACTCTTTGTGACCTTGCTCCCTCGACTGCTCCCTCGCCCCCCTCGCCCCTTTCTCCTTCCCCCTTACCGTCACCACCACCCCTACCTCGCTCAGCGCTTCAAGTTCGTGCCCTGCCCAAGACACCGGCTGTCCAGCTTTGTGCTCTTCAACTCACTGGCACCTTGCCCCTCTCGACTCCCCCACCCCATCCCTTTCCCTCCGCTCAGCTCTTTAAGTTCGTGCCCTGCCCAAGACACCGCCTGCCCAAGTGAGTACCCATCCGAATATCTGCCCTTCCCTCCTCGCCTTCCCTCCTTGCCTTCCCTCCTCGCCTTCCCTCCTCGCTTCCCTCCTCTCCTTCCCTCCTCCCCTTCCCTCCTCTCCTTTCCTCCACTCATTCCATCCTCGCCTCCTCTCCTGCTTCCTCCCATACTGCACTGAGGTTCTTAGTTCTCCCAGCTGCTCCATGCTCACTCCATGCTCACTCCATGCTCACTTCATGCTCACTCCATGCTCACTCCATGCTCACTCCATGCTCACTCCATGCTCACTCCATGCTCACTTCTGCTCTCAGTACTTCTTTTCATAGTTCTTCCTTCCATGGTTCTCGTGCTGCGCTTCATTGTTCTTCCTTCCATACCTTCCTTCCATACCTTCCTTCCAAACCTTCCTTCCATACCTTCCTTCCAAACCTTCCTTCCATACCTTCCTTCCAAACCTTCCTTCCATACCTTCCTTCCAAACCTTCCTTCCACACCTTCCTTCCATACCTTCCTTCCAAACCTTCCTTCCATACCTTCCTTCCAAACCTTCCTTCCATACCTTCCTTCCATACCTTCCTTCCAAACCTTCCTTCCATACCTTCCTTCCAAACCTTCCTTCCATACCTTCCGTCCAAACCTTCCTTCCAAACCTTCCTTCCATACCTTCCTTCCATACCTTCCTTCCATACCTTCCTTTCAGTTCTCATGCTGCCCTTTTTTATGTACAGTCCCGCTTCCCTCCTTGTGTCATCTCTTTCTCTCCCCTTTTCTTCCTCGTTTCCTCTCCATCTCTTCCTTTTCTCCCTGTCCCCTCCTCTCCTCCCCATCCCTGTTCTTCCTACCACCAGGTTCGACCCAGCCACACTTCTCCTCTCTGGCAGCAATGACCTCTACCTCGTCAAGCTCTTCCTCTCCTCGTTCCCTCGTCCTTCCCTCTCTCTCACCTGCTCTTTCCTTGTCGTCTCCTCCCTCGCGCAAGTTCGAGTTTTGAGGCACCTCAAAACTAGACTCTGCTCACGTGCTCTTTCCTTGACCTCTCCCCCCTCTCACCACCAGGTTCGACCCATCAACGCACCTACTCACGGGCAGCAACGACCTCAACCTCGTCAACCCCTTCCTCCCATCCCTCCGTCTCCCTTCCCTGTCTTCTTCATGTGTCCTTTCTGTGCCCTTCTCACCAGGTTCGACCCATCAACGCACCTCCTCACGGGCAGCAACGACCTCAACCTCGTCAACCTCTTTCTCCGCCTCTTTGGCCCGTGCACTGAGGAGGCCCTCTGCATACGCCTGCTGCTCTTCCAGGTGCCTCCCCCCTGCTCTTCTTATAGGTGTCCCCACCCATTGGACACGTTAAGTATAGGGGCTGTGCATCCGCAGCATCCACACTCACAGCTCTCTTCCTGCACCTCTTTGGCCCGTGCACCGAGGAGGCCCTCTGCATACGCCTGCTGCTCTTCCAGGTGCCTCCCCTTGCTCTTCTTATAGGTGTCCCCACCCATTGGACACGTTAAGTATAGGGGCTGTGCATCCGCAGCATCCGCACTCACAGCTCTCTTCCTGCACCTCTTTGGCCCGTGCACCGAGGAGGCCCTCTGCATACGCCTGCTGCTCTTCCAGGTGCCTCCCCTTGCTCTTCTTATAGGTGTCCCCACCCATTGGACACGTTAAGTATAGGGGCTGTGCATCCGCAGCATCCGCACTCACAGCTCTCTTCCTGCACCTCTTTGGCCCGTGCACCGAGGAGGCCCTCTGCACACGCCTGCTCCTCTTCTCAGGTGTGTCCCCCCGCAAGTCACTTCAGGTATAGGGGCTGTGCATCCGCAGCACCCGCACTCACAGCTCTCTTCCTGTGCTTCTTTGGCCCGTGCACCGAGGAGGCCCTCTGCACACGCCTGCTGCCCTTCCAGGTGCAATTTGTGCAGCTGCTGCGGCTGTAGATTCTGCTGCTTCTGGGCTGCTCAGGCTCTTAAGCCCGTGCACCGAGGAGGCCCTCTGCAGACCGCCTGTTGACATTCGAGGTGCCCCCCCCCCCTGCTGCTCTCTCAGGTTCCTCTCGCTTCTGCCCTTCTCAGGCGCCGTTCCAGCTCAGAAGGTCCTACCGTATTTCTTCGACTCATGTTGAGATTCTCATGTCTCCCTCGATTGCCCCCCCCTCACACACCATTTCCACTCACCCTTCTCACACTGCCTTCTCACACTCCCTTCTCACATCTCGTGAGTCGCACTCTCTCTCCGAGCTCGAACATTCCCTCATGCATGCACTCGCAACCCTTGCAGGTCGTTCGGAGGTTATCCCTGCAATCGTCTGCATCTCTGCTTGTCTGGCTTTCAGCAGAGGTCGCTCAAAAGCCCTCCCCACCCCCCTTTTGTCCCCCTCCACCCCCCCATCTCACCCCCAAACCCCATCTCCCCCCCGAACCCCATTCTCCATTCTGCCTGTACTTGCATCTCTTGCAGGTCCTCTCCTCACTCCTCTGCTTCACTGCCCGTCTCTTCCTCCAAGGCGTGTACAAATGAATGGGAACAGCCATAGTCACGCCACTTCCCTCGATACGAGCATGACTGTTACCGTTGCTATCGCGGCATTTTATGTACCTTAATACGTCTGACTCAGATGTCATTCTGCACTCCTCGCTCGCCCAAGTGTGATGTAGCGAGGACCTTAACTGTCGGGCGTAGTTCTTTTGCTGCGGCAAGGAACGTTGCTATGGCTCAACTTCACACCAGAATACCCAGATTTGGAGGGCAACTCACAATAGTCATACTGTCTAACTGGCATTGCAAACTAGGTGGCAAGGGGGGTGGTTTTGGAAGCGGACATCTTTGAAGTGGTGGTGTTTGCGCTAACAGCAGCAGCAGCAGCGGCAGCAACAGCAGCAGAGGGAGGAGGGATGGGACAAGGTGAGGTGAGCTCATCTATGGTTTGCTGTGGGCTCTTCATGTTCTAATATACATTTTCTTCTAATATGCGTTTTGTTCTAATATGCGTTTTGCCATAGATCCCATGACATATATGGAAGAAGTAAGGCCTTGTCACGCGTTCTCCCAAAATCCGCATGTATTGCCACTTGAGACAGTACAAGACAGCAGAATTATTACCCCCTCACACATACTATCCAAGCATCTACCCCAACACCCCACCATCACCCAGCCCAGCGCAGCAGCCCTGACGATCCAAACAGACTCCTCGGCACAAAAACAGCATCGAAGACAAGGAAGGGAGGACACGATAGACAGCATAACAAGAAGTTTTGCTCCCTACCGCGTCTCACGCGCTGCATCACGCGATGCTTCACGTGCTGACTTCTCGCGAGGATACGACCTCCGTTGCACAGATTTCACAACTGATGAAAACGACCGGAAAAAAACAGCAAGCACCCGCCAGCCCATCCAATTTAGACATCGCGCGGAAGCTTTAGTCGTCGTGGTGGTCGTGATGATCGTCGTGATGGTTGTCGTCGTCATGATCGTCGTCGTGGTGTTCCTCCTTCTTCTTGGGCTGGCACATCTCCACGCACTCCTCGTACTTCTCCTCGCACTCCGCCACGGGGCGGCCGTACTTGATGCAGTGGCGGCGGCGGAAGAGGCACCAGTCCTTGCACCCCCACTTGCCGTACTTGCAGTTCTTGAACGACCGGTACGCCTTGCGCTCGCACGCCGCCTCCTTCGCCTCGTCCTCCGAGTCGCACGAGGCGTACTTAATCTTGTACTTCTCAATGCACGTCAGCTTCTTCTTAGGCTTCTCGTGATGATCGTCGTCGTGATGGTCGTCATGATGGTCGTCGTCGTGATGGTCGTCGCCGAGGAATCGTCTTATTGCGAGCTTGCGAGCAGCCTCGCCTGTAAAAAAATAGTTTCAGAAACAAATTCGTTAGAAATTTTGTTCAGATCTGTGGTGCAAAATTTGTCGGATTTCACGAGCAGAAGTTTCCACGAGAATAAAGCCGCGGAGCCCACCTGAATTCTGGGTGCTGACGGCGGCACTGGATTCCGCATAAGCGGAGGGCGCTAGCAGGGCGACGAGCAGCGCGGAGGTCGCGACGAGAAGAGCGAAGAGCTTCATCGGAGCCATCATGATAGGAGGAAGCCAACTGTTGGCGACTGAATTTAGAAATGATGCTTGGCGATGAGAGTCAATGGGAATCCAGCCGCAATTTATCCTCGAAAATTGTCCCCAAGTTGCTCCCTCCTCGGGCAATGTTCGCGCCGCTGGGATGGAAGGGCGTCACGGCTCGGTTGGAGATCTGCGCCGCTTTGGGCAGTCGAAAACTTTTACCGATGAAAACAATGTGCTGTACACAATGAAAACAATTTCAACCTCCTGGTCAGCGGGCTGGCAATCGGGCTGGTCAACAAACACACTTCTTGAAGACGCCTCGGGAGGGCGGCGGTCGCTTTAGCGGCTCGGTTTGTTGACGGTGCCTCATTGGTGGCATCTGCCTCATCGGACGATCGACAGCGCTCCCGTAGACGTGGCATTCATTCAACTCGACCGCAATGTCATCCTCAGCTACAAAACCGGGAAAATTACTGCCGCGGACTGTCCGCAAATCTTTTCATACTTTCGTGGACAGCCCCTACTTTCATGGACACCACATCAACATTTCGCTTCTCCCGTGGACTACGTCCCTACTTTCATGGACATCCGCCTTACTTCCATGGACAAGGTCAAAATCGCAGGAAATAGGCGAAAGCTCAACTGTACAAAAAATGACAGGCGATGAAAAAAAAAAACAGCAGCTCAGCGTGCGTCGCAAAGAGTCGCGCACTACAGTGTCCCAAACCTAATCCGAAACAGAATCTCCCAGAAATTGGGAACATGACTTTCACGCCAGGTTTTCATTTGGTGCGTTTGGCACAAAAAATCCTGTGACGTGTGATTCGGCAGGCAGTACCCACACGTTTCTACGTAACTGTACTTCAGAAGGAAAAATTGGTACACTCTGTAAATTTGTCTACCAGTTCAGACTAGTGCTGCTGTTGTTGTTTACATCATATTCGCAAAAAGAAAGGTTTCGTTCTCATGACTAATGTTTTTGGAGAATTTCCCTGCATAACTTCCAACATATATTATGTTTTTTAACAAGGCTCTAAATAAAATGCTTCTTTGAAATATGATTCTGATTCTGTTTTGGAGTAGGTTTGGGTCACTGTAGTGCGCGACTCTTTGCGACGCACGCTAAGCCACTGTTTTTTTTTTTTTTCAGCGCCCGTCATTTTTTGTACAGTTGAGTTTTCGCCTATTTCCTGCGATTTCGACCTTGTCCATGGAAGTAAGGCGGATGTCCATGAAAGTAGGGACGGAGTCCACGGGAGAAGCGAAAGGTTGATGTGGTGTCCATGAAAGTAGGGGCTGTCCACGAAAGTATGAAAAGATTTGCGGACAGTCCGCGGCAGTAAATTTCCCTACAAAACCTCTTGTTAGGGTCATGATGGGGCAGCTGCACGAAGTCAAGTGAAAACAGAACCTTGTGAAGATGCTGCTACCACAAGCGAGGAGCCTGTTTGATGTTGTAGAGTGATTTGAGTAGCTTATATGGAGTCCGTCGCCGAAAGTGTGAGAGAGTTCGACAAAAAATATATGCATCGACTCCAGGGTATAAAAACGCATTTTTAACGTTCATTTGTCGAAGCGGCTGATGACGGCTAGCAACAATGGCGAGAAGAATTCGAACAGAGGTATGGCGGCTAACCGGAGCAAAATTATGGTCGTAGTCGATGCCATGGGTTTGTTCGAAACCTCGAACGACCCATCTCCCTTTGAATCTATCTGGTTTGCCTGCTGCGTTTGTTTTTATGCGAAAGACCCACTTGCCCGAAAGATTTTTATTGCCGCGTGCTGCTTCGCGTAAAACGAGTTTCCAAGTTTTCCACTTCTCGAGAGCTGCTACCTCTGCATCCATAGCTGCTCACCATTTGTTAGCATCAGAGCCGGAGAGGGCGTGCTGGACTGTTTTTGGCTCGATCCCAGCCGTTGGTTGTTGACCTACGAGAGCAAGGTCGAGGATCTGAAGTGCCGATTGGTCTCCACGAGGATGCGGTTGGCAAACTTCGACGACGTCATCGTCATCAATTTCGGATGTCAGATGGCAGACACCTTCATATGATGCTGCGTCAGCTTTTTGTCAGTGCAAGTGCTCCTCATAATTATAGGCAGCCTGTGTCGTGGCAGGACGCAATGGGTCCGAGAGTGGAATGAAGAGCGGAGTGTCTGTAGCGTTGGCACATGTTGAAGGACTATATGATTCGAACAGTGCTGCGTCACAAGAGGAAGGACCAGGTGCAGCTGTTGCCGTAGACGGTTGCGGAATTGTAGAAGATCATACTGCTGCGCTGTAGGGCAGATAATATTCTTCGGTTACATCTGCTTCGTGTTGAGGGGTGGCGAAACTCAGTTCAGCACAGTAGCAATCAGGATGCCGCTGCTGGCGTTCCTTATCGCGTTCGAAGTCGTCGAGAAAAAGTTTCTCGTAGAAGATGCAGTCTCGGGCATGCAAACCCTTCTAGGTTTCGGAATCCATAATTACATAGGAGTTGGAATCCTTGGGTACACCAAGGTGTATTCCCCATCGAGCCCGTTCAGCAAACATGCCCACAGTTGCGCTCGGAGGCCTGTATTGGACCATGCAGCCCCCAACTCGTAAAAGTCGGGTGTCCGCAAGGTGTTTTGTCCACATGACATGTGACGAGCTGAACAGAGGGGGAGTTGTTGAAGATAGGTAGTTGTGTAATTTGACAGCTTGCGCCATCGCAAACGGCAAAAAAATTTGTTATCAAGCTGGACTATTGCAGCAGCATGCGCATCTTCCCTTGCAGCGTTCTGTTCATCCTCTCAGCTACTCCATTTTGCGGATGGGTGTAAGGCACAGTCTTCCGCCTGAGTATCCCTTTCCGCGCCAGGAATTCATCGAACTGCTCGCTAGTGTACTCGCCCGTGTTGTCTGTCTGGATCTCTTTTATCTTGATGCTGCAATGTTGCTCCAAGATTTTCAGCCATACTTTGAAGGCGTCGAGAGCTTCAGACTTGTGAGATATATAATTGTGCTAGACATAACGAGTAGCACCGTTGATGAAGGTAATTATAAAGCGGTAGTCCTTGCCGGAGAATTCCTCTGCTTCCTAAGGCATGAAGAGTAGGTCGCTGAAAACTACGTCCACAGGTGACTACCTAGCAGCACTCGGAAGTGTGACGGGAACGGAGCATGACTCAGGTGAGCGCCGGGGCAGATGATGCAGGATAGTTGGCAACTACTAGGTCGAAGTTCTTGGCCGTTGGTTAAAAGGGAGCGAAAACCGAGGCTTTAATCAAGTTGTTAAGAGCTTCTTGCGAGAGATGACCTAACCGCTTGTGCCATGTTCATGCAGTAGTCCTGTGTCCCTTTGAACGCATGTACAAATCGGAGTGAAGGAAGAAGATGAATAATTGGCGCATGGTTAACGCAACAGCCGGTGCCGAAAGGTTGGATGAATCCGGCTTCTTCTGCAGTTTGAGCCCAAGGTATGCTGAGATGTTGGCGTCGTGCCCAAGCATCAGGTACGATTAACTCTTTCTTGGCCCATGTGTGCTCAACCTCCATAGGTTCTTCAAGTGTAGGAGATGCTGATTCTTGGTTTTCATAGCCCAATTTCCGTCACCATATGCCCATGTAGCTTGACCGGTTTCTGCCGCTGCTGCTGCTTGTGCTATTTTTGCTGCAGATTCGTCGATGGAGTTGGTGCGAGAAGGCTGAGGCGTGACGCAGAAGACATTTAGACCATGATAGTCTTGGAATTGGAGGTCCGTTTCCCAGTGATGATGCCAAGGAGCAAGTAGGACATTCTTCTCACTGTCGCAAGATGCTTTCACAGGTGAAAACCGTAGAACTGATACACCGTCTTTAATTTATGCGATGCCGACTGAATTATTTTTGTCTTCCTTCTTGTCGCCAAGGTACAACTCCATGAGCATTCTGTTGGCGGTGGTGACAAAACAGATGCCGCTTTCCATCAGATGTGCTTGTGATACTATAGCAAGTAGAAGCCGAGCCCCGTGGCGACAAGAACCTTGTTAAGGTGAAGAGAAACTTCTGTGTCGTTGAACTCTAGTATTACATCTCCAATTTTGGTGGCTTCAATAACTTGATTGTGTTATGATTAAGGACGGAGTCTAGGTGAACTTAGGAGCTAGAATTACTCAAAATATAAATCCGAAATTCTGGACAGAAAAGTCGTCTTCAGAAGAAATGACGTCGACAAAAAAATAGCCGTTGGAATGTCACGAAAATCGGATATGATGTAGCTTGTAATCGTAGCTACCGTTCTCAATTTAAATCACATCGATTAATGGAGTATTCGCGACGCTATGTATTTCGACGCACTGGGGGGTAAGCTGTAGGAGGAGAACTTAACTCAATCTCAAAAGTTCAATCAAAGTTCAAGAATCTCACAAGGAATTAGAGAAGCAAGAGAATGGTTGGGATAGAAGAGAGGGATGAGAGGGAATGTCCTAAGAGAGTCCGCAACCAAGGAAACCCCATAAGCACAAAGATTCCCCCCCTATAGGAACCCCAACTTTGACATTTGTCCCTTCCCAACCAATCCATCCAAGTTGGCCACCCTTGCCAACCTAGCTTGGTTGTTCCCAACCAATTTGCAACTGCTACAGCAGAGTGACGAATTTTCCCAACCCCTAATGGTCCCAACTCCATATAGAGTCACCCCACAACTTCACTATGTAACCGCCGCAATTGTAACGCAAGCTCATGAACTTTGAATCGTTATAGCTTTCGCGTTCTTGCTCCGATTGAAGCGATTCTTGTTGTGTCGGAAAGATCTTCTCAAGATCTATCATCACAAATACCTGCTCAGACAGAATAACACAAAACACATTCCCAAACTCCAGAACACACACCACACAAATTCTTTCACACACAGTCAAACCATACATGCGAATTGAAACAAGGGATGGGAGGCAGACAGAATGTGATAGCATATGATGACATCACACAACAGATTGTTGACCACGGTGATGTTGTATTTTTCTCTTTTTGGTAGGTCTCGACAATTGAGGAGATAGCGACTTGAAGACGCTATGTGGTGACAGCAACAACTGTCAAGAAACCAAGTGTTAACATGCTCGG